TTTTCTACTTAAGATTTAAATAAATTAGTTAAGCTCTTAGAGGGTGTATATGTGATAAAATTAAATTTGGGGTTAAAATTATAATGAGGTGAGGAACTGAGGGATTAAACCTTATAATTAAAGCTCAGGGACTAAGTGACAATATTCTCTTTTTGTGAAATACCCCAAATCAGATTTGGTCGGCAGTTTCATTTTTTTCTTTCATTCTTTTCGGAGGAAACAGAACCGTCATGATTCCTCTCGCCAGCAGGGGAAAATAACTCTAGGGATCTGCCATCCTAGGCTAAAATCTAATGTAAATTATCTCCTAAAACTTGAAATATTTAAGAATGTGGAATGAAGAGAATGGGTAGATGCATGGGTTGAGAATTGATTTTACTGTTAGTTTTGGAATTGATTTTTTTAAATTGTAAATTTGAGTGAGAAATTTTGAGATTGTTGAGATATAGCAAAAGGAGGGAAAAAGTTACAATATTTAAGGTTGCATCACGTGAATTACATATTATGTTTTGTGTATTAGACAAGGAGTTGTACATGGGTTTGCTTTAATTGGAGGGAATTGTGATGGTAGATGCAAATACTAAACTAAGTGAGAAAGTAGGACATGAATGACATAAAAAATTGGGATTAGTTCCTGTAATGTTTAAATAGCACTTGTTAAATTCTATTTAGTGATTGAGTTATATTTATTTGTTGTTTTTTTTTTAGGTTCAAAGTAGTTGTGTGGAATTGCAATTAAAAGATAGTTATTGAGGTAAGTAGTTATATTCTACATTGTATTTAAAGTAAATTGATAGATTTAAATGGGTTTGTCCAGTTTTGATTTATTCATCTATTTATTTATTTATTTTTAAGAGAATGACCTTTTATTAAATATTTTTAATGATGGAATGAGATGATTTGTGGACTAAGCATAATATTTTTATTTAAGTTTGAGATGAAATTGTGGCCACGTGGAAGTGACTAATTTAAATTTGTTTTTCTCCTATATTATTGAAATGGTTATTTTTGGAATAGTTTTTTTTATTTGTCTTGGCTGTATAGTTCACCCTTGTGAGGGTTGAGTTGTTGGTATTGTGATAGACTCGGAATCTATGGATTGTGAATAATGGATTGTGGATTATGGATCATGTATTGTGGATTGAATATCATTGATCATGGATTGATGATTGAATATCATTGATCATGGATTGTGGATTGTTACACATCCATAAGAGATAAAAAAATGAAATATTGTGGTTTTGAGGAAAAAATTGTATTTTTTTTTATTGTTTCATTTTCAATAAAAAAATTCAGTTTTAAATTTTTACGCTTGGTTGAGATGGATGGGTATACTATTTATGGACTTCTTAAACTCACGTTTTCAAATTTTCATCTCATTTCAGGTGAAAAAGTATGAGCATCGGGTTTTGTATGGGAATTGAGAGATTGTTAGAATAAATTGACAGGAATTCAGCAATAGCTCAATTGGAAGCTTATTTGATTTTATGAAATAAGATGTTAATCACTTTATGTTTTGGTTAAGAGATTTGATCTTGTTATTTGGAGACTATTAAGATTTGTTAATAAAATTATTTATTTTAAAGTTGTAAGGCTACATTAAAACTGTATTGGAGATTGTATTGATATGCAGGTAAATGACTTTACACATTTATGGGGTTAGCCCATAAATGTGTGGTGTTTGTTATACCTAGACTTAAGGGTTGGGGCGTGACACCAACATAGAGAAACCAGTTCGGGATAAACATGGAGCTTTTGCCATGAGAAATAATGGAGGGCTCCAAGTCATGGATAGGAAAGGAAAAATTCTTTGGTCTTCAAATTCAACTGCAAAATTATTCAGGGTTTTACCAGCTAAGCTAGCTAAACTCATGGATAATGGGAACCTTGTTCTGCAACGAGGAAACAGACTTTGCCTCAAAATCAGAGTAAGGGATGGCGGGGCCCTGGTGGGTATGCACAAATTGATGTACATTTTTATTGTAAAAGTGTACAGTTGGTTCATTAAGGTCTCATTGAGCAGCTATTTGACTGTAACTCTTTTAATCTACTGATAATCTAGTAGAGTAAGTAAGCTGTAGTCGGTGGATGCTCAGTGTCAGTTTCTTTTTGTACTAAGGGCATGAGTATCCTTGTACTCCACTTAATAAAATCCATTTTACTGTACTAAAAAAAAAAAAAAGGAGATGAGAATATCCAATGGCAAAGTTACTCGGACGAAAGTAATACATTTCTCAGGGGATGAATATTGTGTTTGAATTTTTCTCAAAGAAATGGAGAGAGAGGTTGAAAGAGCTGAAATTCAATTTTCCATTTCATTTTAGGGATATTTATACAATATAGAGAATTTAAATTTAAAATTTAAAAGTTTTTTAATCTAAGTATTCTCTGTGTTTAAGTCAAGGAACTCTTTTATAATAATATTGTCATTAAAAAAAGTACACATCAAATCATATGATTTAAACTTAAAATATAACTAAAAACATACATAAAAGGTTTGGTTAGTTTCAATTTAACTAAATTGACTTGTGCAGCTTGATGGTACTAATGTACTGCTACTTCCACCCAAGATGCTTCATGCAACTTTCATCACTCCTCCTTGACATCAAGGCTGCACATTCCAAGTTGTTCTCTTAATATCTCAAACTTGGACTTCTACAACTCCTTTGTAAAAATATTTGATAGCTGCTCCTCTTAATTGCAATAAATAATTAATTGAACTTCATTTTTGAATTTTTCTCCTGAAACCAGTGAAGTATTAATAGCTTTGTAACTCTTCATAGCAAACTCCTCTTGCATTGTAACTCTCCAAACCATTGATCTTATAGCTTCTAAATAATTTGCAAGTTCTTCAATGACCAGATTACACCTTTCATAGATATCAATTAGTGTTCTGGTTCCTCTAATAGCAAAATTATCAACAGATTCATTGTCATTCTCTTGCTGAACTTCATCATTCTCAAAATCAAAGCTTGGTTCATCATTTGCTATAGGAACCTGATCTGCAGCAATAATTTGTGAACTTTCCCAGTTTTAAGCTACACTTTCATCAAATTTCACACTTTTACTCACATTAACAACACTAACTTCTGCATTAATTTTAGTTTGTTTCTACTATACAAGAAAACTAAACTTCTTTCATTCATTCTAACATTGAACAATTTTGAACTAGATTTATCTTCTACTTCATATATTTTTTCATGAAAATACAAGACATAGGCATGTTTAATCAACTGACCTGCACTTATCAAGCTATAGCTAATATTTGGCATAAATAGTACATCATGAATGGATTTGATACTTGTTTGTGTCTCAACAACAACTACTCCATCGCTTTTGACCTCCACGAATTCTCCATTTTCATTTGTGACTTTTGAATTGTATTTTCTATCAAGGCTTTTGAATATGGTTGCATTTGGGATCGTGTGGTTTGTACTTTGTACAACCACTTTCAATCAACCAAGTGCTTGGATTAAATCCTGTTAAGCAACAGACCTCAACATTAGAAGCCATAAATAGCTTCTCTTCCATTAGTTTAATGATTTCAACAACTTGAGCTTGTTGAGTTTTTTCACCCTTCAACTTGCAAACTTTCTCAACATGTCCAAAAAGCTTGCAAGATCGGCACTAAATTCCAAGTTTAAACCAACAATAATTTTCTGAATGGTTCTTCTTCTTACAATGAGAACAAGGTGGAAAGTTTTGTTTCTTGTTTTTGTAACTCCTACTATGATAACCCTTCTTTTCTTTATTTCTTTGATCACAAAACTGCTTGTTTTCATCATCTTTGGCTGCTACTTTATCTTTATCACTTTCCAAATATACTCCTTCAACATTGTTTTGCTCCATAACTTGCAATGCATTGACTAATTCATTCAAGGAGAATTGAGACAAATCTTTGGAATCCTTTAAGGATGAGAT